TCCAGCAACTCGATCGGTCCAGTGCACGTGCTCGTCTCGGGCACGACAGGATGGATGGGTGGTGAGCTTGCGCGGTCGCTCGTCGCCCGCGGCTGCCGGGTCACCGGCGTCAACCGGCGGAAATGCACGGTTCCTGGGGTGACCGCCGTGCAGGCAGACATATCCTCGCCCGACTTCACGCTCGAGGGCATCGACCGGCCCGACGTGGCGGTCCACCTTGCCGGCACGCTCGGCTGGTGCTCGGTCGAGCAGGCCGTCAACACGAACATTGCTGGGAGCCGCCGGTTTGTCCAGGCAGCTCTTGATGCTGGCTGCCGGCGGATCGTGTTCGCCTCGTCCGTCGCATGCATCGGCACGTGTGCGCCGACACACCCGCCACGGAAGCTGCCGATGGCGGTCGACCATCCTTACGAGGGCGGGCCGTGGCCGTACGCATTCGCCAAGCATGCGTGCGAGACACTAATTGACCTGCTGGCGGTCGAGGAGAAGAACCGGGAGGTAGACTTCATCGTCGTCCGCATCGGCAACACCGTCACCGACCCACCTAAGATTCAGCACCTGGACGGGGTGGTTGACGGGAAGCAGTTGTCGTGGCCGGTGCCCCCCGCCGTCTGCACCCCTGTGCCATACACGACGGCCAAGCCCGAGAAGTTCCCCGAGGCGGCACTCTGCTCTGTCGCGCTGTCCGACCAAGTCGACTGCCTGCTGGCGGCCGTCCGCGCCCCACACGCTGCTGGTGTCCGGAAAGTGGCGTGCGTGGCGCCCAAATTGTACACTGAGAAAGCTGTCCCCGAGTTGATGGCTTCTTGGTATGGCAATGAGACTGCCGCCACGATCGACATGTCCTACTACGAGGTGCCCGGCCACGAGCGTGACCCTCTCTACGACCTTGAGCCCGGTCGTCGCCACTTGGGGTGGGAGCCAAAGGTTGATTTGCTCACCGGCCAGCGGCCAGTGTTGACTGAAAAGGACGTTGCTTCCGCCCCTGACGCGCTAGCTGAGTCCGCCGCCGAACAGGTGGCGGCCCCGGCGACGTCGGCGGGTGGCGCACAGGTACACGTGACCATCGTGAAGCGGGTACCAGCAGCTAGCCAGCGGCGGTGGCTGGCGATGGCCGACGAGCTGGCAGCGGCCACGTGGCACGAGGATGGATGTGAGGAGTACGCTTTTGTCCGGTCCTCCGTCGCGCCCGACACGTTTTGCATCGTCGAGCGATGGGCGTCGCAGTCCCATTTGGATGCCCACTTTGAGACATCGCATTTTACACGACTGGTTCCGGCCTTGGACGCAATCTCTGAGACGGTCGAGCTGCACGTGTCCACCAACGCGCTGGCGAAGAGGCGCCCGCCGCGGACAACCAAGATTTTGGTACTGTACGACTCGTCCACTACTTGCACCGCTCAGATGGCTGGGCTCGTGGCTGAGGGCGCCCGGCAGCTCGACCACGTCGAGGTGCGGCTCCGGACCGTGCCCGGCCCCGACAACCACTGGGACGCCACGTCCAAGGGTGTCAGGGCGCATGATGTGCCCGCCACGTTCGCCGACGTGTACTGGGCCGACGGAGTCGCCTCCGGCAGCCCAACCAACCTTGGCTGCATCTCGTGGCGGATGAAAAAGTTCTGGGACGATTTGTCTCAGGATGGGTACTGGCCCAAGCTCGAGGGCAGGGTCGGTTGCTCCTTCTCGTCTGTCGGCGGCACTGGCGGCGGGTCCGAGCTGGTGTGCATGGCAATGAACGCAATCATGATGAACTTTGGCTTCTCCTGCATCGGGATAACCGATTATGTCTCGTTTAAGACGACGATGCATTATGGTGTGCAAGTGGCCAAGGCACCGCGCGATCCTGTTGACCAGATGGCATGCCGTCGTCTCGGCCGGCGGCTGGCCGAATTCGCCGCCTACTACATCTCGCACAGACCTGAAGCCCACCCCTTGCTTGCATCCAAGGCGCACGACTTCGCGCGCTGGGGTGCGTCAGCCATTCCGCCCCGCGATGCCGACCCGGATGAGCTGCTCCGCCTCAACACGGCGCCCTTCACTGGGCCGATCTATCTGCCCCAGCTATCGGCGAAAGGAATGGCGAAGCTGCCGCAGGCGCCTGCACTCGTCTCGCTCGCCAAGGATTCGGCCGGCTCGCTCGTTGGAGAGAAGTCTGCCGACCGCAAGAAGGTGGCCCTCATCTACACAGCGATGCGCGACTACGTTCACGACTCCACACCGGCGGCCGCCACTTTTGTGGCTCTGCAGCTGGCTGTACGCGGATACAAGCCAGTCGTTTCGGATGACGCGGCTCAGCTAGAATTGCCAACCGCCCCTGCTTTCGACCTCATCGTGATGGTCAACAACTCGGGGCAGATTTTTGACCCCGCGCGTGAGGCGCTCTCCCGGCACCTCGAGATGGGCAAGCCGGTCCTTGGACTCCACGCGTGCCTCGCAAGCTTTCTCGACGGCCGCGATGCTTCGGGAGCCACGCCGCTCGGCGCGACCTGCATGCTTATCCAGGATGTCTTTGGTGCGCATTTCGTCAACCACCCGCCGCCGCAGAAAGGACGGGTAGCTCTTCGGCGCCCAGCTAGCGACGAGTACGCTATGGACACGCCGCTCAGGTCCATCCCGGACACGTACGAGACTTACGATGAGTTCTTCAATTTTCGGCTGGACCCCGTCGCCTTCGGCGTTGCTGGCGACGTCACCGTTGTGGCCACCGTTGACGAGTCGACCTACCAGGGCGGCAGTATGGGCGCTAACCACCCGATTGTCTGGTCGCGCAAGCTGGGCGCCAAGGCCGCCCGCGTCTTTTACTGCGGCCTCGGCCACTTCGCCTCCGACTACTCAGCCGATGGGCCCGGTAACCACACAGCTGCCTTCATCAAGGCCGGCATCGACTACGTGTTGGGCTCGACGACGCAGTGAGAGGTGGTTGGAGTCAGTGAGACGGCGCACAGGGTTTCAGGGTTTTTCTGAATGCCTTTTCGGGAAGCAAAGCGACGAGCAAGCCACTTGCGAGAGAGACATTGCGAGCAAATATACTGACTGCCATTGATCGTGAAATCATTCAGATTTGTCGTAGATTTGTTCGCTAGCCAGTACAGGAATTCCAATGAAAAAAACACATGATTCAAAGTAAACGGAGGTCCTGACTAATTCCCTGTGGAGGTCCTCACAGTTCCCTTGCTCAGAATGCCCCTATGGGAGTCCTCATACTTCCCGTTCCCCTATTGGGGTCCTCATAGTTCCCTTCATCGCAAGTGATTTATCCGTTCGCTCCTTCATTTGCCCAGCTCTTTAGTCGTTGCACTTTGACTTCCGAGGTTCGATGCCCATTCTCGTGCTTCACTGCAACTCAAGAGTCTACGTCTCCCTTCGCGGTGATCCTGCAGTCCTCCACCGGATTCGAGTCCAGCCCTCAGGGGCACCGAATTCGAAACGTATTGGATATGGGGTATGATTTTAATAATATTTGTCGAGAGGACAGGTCACTCAGAAGCGCTCGTACGATCTGCTTCCTTGGCTGAGCATTGCCTCAATCTCCTCGAGCGACTTTCCGCGCGTCTCTGGAAGCATGAAGAACGTGAACAGAAAGTGCACGGCGCTGACTCCCGCAAAGAGGAAGAACGCCCCACCGACGCCCAGCCATGCGGAGAGGCTCAGGAAAGTCATCGCGACAGTGCCGCTTGTAATTCGATTGGCTGCCATGCTGAAGGACGTCCCCTTCGATCTAATCGGCAGCGGAAAAATCTCTGAGGTTATTACCCATGTCCCTGGACCCACCCCCAGGGAGAATGATGCCATGAATGCGCATAATGCTGTCAGTATCACTCCCACTTCAGCGTTCCCGCTCCCGATACACCACGCCAGCACCAATAGCGAGCAAGTCACCGCCGAGATGCTTGAGAGCATGACGACCCTTCGACCGAACTTGTCCACGCTGAACTGACCGATGCCAATGAATAAGGTCTTGCAAAGGCCAACGAGCGCGGCGGCTTTGAGTTGCGCGTGCTCGCTCGTGACGCCCGCTGCGTCCAAAACCTTAGGTACGTAGTACACCACCGCCTCCAATCCGTTCGCCTGTTGGAATATCGCGGTGCCCGCGCCAATGACGAGCGCACGACGCGCCACGGGTCCCGTAAAAAGCGCCGCCCACCTCGACCCCGATGACGCGCCGTGTCTCTGGCCCTCATGATCATAATTGTCCTGAAGCGCGATGACTTCCTTTATCTCGAGCATGGTTGGCCCGGCCGCCGCCTCACCACACAAGCGGACGAGCGTGTCGCTCGCCTCCGCCTCCCTCCCGTCAGCCATAAGCCACCTCGGGCTCTCCGGCAGGCGAGGCACGCTAATGAAGTACATGAAACAGGTCGGGACAAGAGGGATAAGCATCAGGAGACGCCATCGGGTCGAGTCCGCAAGAGTCTCGAGCGCGAGGTTGGCAACGTATCCACTGCACAATCCGAGATTCATGCTGATCTCGAAGCATGACACCATGATGCCGCGCCACGCAGGCGGGCAGATTTCGGCGATGTATTGGGGGCATATGGCAAAGCCGAGGCCAACCCCGATGCCACCGACGATGCGGCCGATGAATACCTGGACGTACGAAAAGGAGGCAGCGACGATGATCATACCGGCGGCGTACGAGAGAATAGCGAGCCGAACGCAGCGCACCATGCCATGATTGACGTACAATGCGCCCCCGCCGATGGCACCTGCAGCGCTCACAAAGTCGAGACATCCCACGACGATCTCCTGCTGCCACGTGGACAAGTCGAGGTCACGGCTCATGGCCAAAAGAGCGCCGCTCATCACGCCAATATCGTATCCGAGGATCGCGGCAAAGATGGAGACAGTTGCCACCGACTCGATCGCCAGCCATTTCAATACGCCACGATCGTCTTTCGCAGAAGCCGAGGAGGCCGTATCCCGTGAACCGGGGAAAAAACAAAAAGATGTCAAGCGCCAACCCTTGCCAAGGGCGTCCAGGCGCGACATGTGGTCCCGTGAGAGGCACCAGTCGAGCACGTCCTTGTTTTCGTCCATGAGAGACTGGGACAGCGTCTTGCGAGTGATGCTCCTGCCGCGCTGGATGCCCCAGCGGAGGAGCACCTGCGACGCCGAGCGGCCACTTTCCTCGGCGATGCGGAGCAAGACAGGATCATCGAGCAGCGAGTAGTCATCTGGATATCCGTCCCTCATCTTGCCGGGCGGCGAATTAGCCACCACATGGATGTTCTCCTCGCGACAAAA